CCTGAGCTGAAATCGAGAGTCAGACGCTTAACTGACTGAGCCACGCAGGTGCCCCCAACCTCACTTAAAATTAATCAGCTCTTTAAAGTCCCTATCTGCAAGTATGATGATATTCCGAGGAAGTGGGGGTTAGGGCTTTGACAGATGAATTTGGGGGGTACACAGTTCAGCCCATATCGTTCCTGTGTCTTCACCATCCATGCATTTGGCTGACAGGACCCATTCCGTGTCTCTGTGCCTTGGGGACTCTCTGGTTCCCATCCGTCTGCACACCCCGTGCTCTATATTTCCTCCTGGGTCACCTGACTCTATCCTTCCCGGGGAACAACAGCCGTGACCTAGAGAGCTCAGCCTCCACCTGTGCTCAAAAGTATGGCTCTAAGCTCCCCAAGGTGCCGTGTGTAATTAGGAAGAGAGACGTCTGTATGACGTCTATCAACACAACCTTTTGGGGTTTCTCTGGAGTGAAGTCAGGGGTAACTGTATCTCTTAAGGCATTGTTTGCGGACTGTTTGCATCAGAATCATCTGGACTGCTAGCGACCTCCAGCATGAGTCTCTCCAAGAGGGGGTCCTTGCAGTGTGCCTGTCTCTGAATCCCCTGCCAGGCAGCCCCTCCCCCCGCCCCACCTGGTGACTCTCTGCACAGAGAGGCATCAACCGCCCCGTCTGCGATGTCAGGCACCTTTGGCTGTGTCTCAGCTCCTCCCGTTTCTAGGTGTGTGACCTTGGGACAAGTTAGCCACCCTAATTGTGTTTCTTAATTGGCAAGGTGGAATTAATGGGATTAATCTAGCTACCTCCTAGGTTGGGGTAAGGATTAATTTAGATCATATAAAGAAAGCACTCTCCACCACCTGCTTGTTGCAGAAGGGAAAGCGTTCAGTTTCTGGTAGCATTACTCCTGCTGCCATGGCACTACCAGGAAAAGATTGCTTTGTTATCCTAAGACCAAAGTAACAACCTTGTTAACTTTGCGTCTGATGCGTGACTGTGGGTTTGGACCACCCAGGCCATGTCCTATAAGAGCCAGTGTGTGTGTGCAAACGGGAAAACCCATACAGAAGTTGATAAACAGGACCCAGGGGACAGTAGGAGGGCAGGAATGCTGGCCTCCAAAGGAGGAAAGACCACCGAGAAAACAAGCCTCGAGAGACATCTGGTGGCCTGCGGCAGTCAGGATGTAACAGCCAGGCGCGGATTCTGTCCAGCTGTCTACCTTGGATGCTGGGAGGACGTTGCCGTCCCGGGTCAGGGTGTCGGCAATGTCTTCTGACTCTCAGGCTGCCTGAGTTGTCTTTTCTGCTGAGATCACCAGCGTGCCAACTCTTCCGCGTCTCCAGCGTTCCTGGAGATCTTGTTGGCATCACGGCGGGTTGGACACACGTTTGAAGTGACACGGTTATGGACCTTCTTGCATTTTGTCATTTGTAGAGGAGCTGAAGGCCCCGCTGGAAGAGTACGTCCAGAAGCGCTACCCTGGGCTGGTGAAGGTGGTACGCAACCAAAAAAGAGAGGGCCTGATCCGAGCTCGCATCGAGGGCTGGAAGGCGGCCACTGGCCAGGTCACTGGCTTCTTCGATGCCCACGTGGAATTCACAGCTGGCTGGTAGGTCACAAGCTGGACCCTGGGGGCACCCGGCACCTGCAGTAGGCTGGTCGGGAGGAGCTAGAATCTGGGAGGTGGAAACGTTGCCTGTTCCTTCTGGGGCTAGTAAAACGGTGGAGAAGGGCTGGTTGACAAAGAAGGTGAGAGCCATACTGTGGGATAAAACTGGGAAGCAGGGAGAAGTTTGCTGTCTACCCGGTTCTCTGTTGTTGTGGCCTCCACCAACCACCACCACCATCGTCATCAAAATACCCGGTGAAGGGGCGCCTCGGTGGCTCAGTCGGTTGGGCGGCCGACTTCGGCTCAGGTCATGATCTCTCGGTCCGTGAGTTCGAGCCCCGCGTCGGGCTCTGTGCTGACAGCTCAGAGCCTGGAGCCTGTTTCGAATTCTGTGTCTCCCTCTTTCTGACCCTCCCCCGTTCATGCTCTGTCTCTCTCTGCCTCAAAAAAATAAATAAACGTTAAAAAAAAAATTAAAAAAAAAATACCCGGTGAAAATGACACACTGATTGGACAGAACTCGAGATGATCCTTGTCAAGGGGATGAGACAGCCATGTCTCTTCTCTTCTCCCACTTTGTTTGTTCCCTTTTCTGAGGAGGATGGTTGAGTGCTATTTGGAGGGAAGAGATCCATTTATAATTCCACCTACTCGGGTAAAGCCTCCTGGAACATAAGGGATTATCTTTAACATCGTTTGGAGGAAGGGAAGGGTGGATCTCTGCAAATGTGGCCCCGATGGTTTCCCAGGTGAAAAGAACAATCTGGGAGAAACTGGAGGCCACCCAGAGAGGAGAAGACTTAGGACTGCAAGAATCGTGAAGCATCAGAACGCCCAAACCTTCAGTGGGCATGCTTACGGCTGAAAAGCCCGGTCATGTGGCTGTGACTGACTGCCCAATGGGAAACCGAGTCAGAGGTGAAATAACCTGGGTTCAGTTTGCTTACTTCCTAAGAAGCAGAGTCTTTAATTTCACAAACCCTGCTTGTAACCTGTGTTAACTCAGTGGCACCATCTTGAATATGATCTTGAACTTGATCTTGATCTCGAACTTGAATACCGTTCGTGGTACCAGATCGGAAGAGCCAGTGCCCCGTTGCCCATTAAACATTATAAAATCTGTTTTTCTTCATTTGCAACACATCTTAGAATCCCTTAAGGGCCGGACCAAAGGAGAATGGCTATCACTTGGGCACGTGACGATCTGCACCCTGGGGTCACAGGTAACACAGGCCCGTTCAAGCGCACATGGCTGTCCATTGCCGTCTCAGACACCAGTGTCCTGCCTGATTTTTCTGCCACCGTTAGACCCTGGTGACACACAGCTGTAGGTTTGCAGCCCTGATCTCCTCTAAGCTTCAGGGTTGTTTATCTCTTAGAGCGATGGTTGTCAGAGTGTGGTTCCCCGGACCAGCAGTGCCATCGGGAACTTGCTGGAGAGGCAGAGTTGGGGGCTCCCCTCAGACCTGTGAAATCAGAAGCTCTGTGTGGGTCCAGCACTCTGTTTTAGCCAGTGCTCCAGGGACCTCTGAGGCTCGCTCGGGTTTGAGAAGCGTTGAGCTGGAAGCCTTCTGAACAGAGGCCCTCGAATGTTCCATGTGGAACTTCTTGCCTTTATTTGCCACATCCTTGCCTGCCCGTTTCTTTTCTGTCAAAACTGGCAACTCTTCCCGCGTCCCTCTCATTGGCTCCTTCCGTCCCCATCACGTTACCCACCCGGTCAACCTTCGCCCATCTGCCCTTCTCCCTTGGCGTTGACCTCCGCTCGCCCATCCTCCATCTTCATCACCATGCCCCTCAACGAATAGCGGGCTGCTGGAATCCTCCTTGGATGCCTACCACTGTCCCAAACACTGTCCTAGGCTGGGGTTGGGGTCACCAGCTGTTGGGACTGGCCTGGTGCTGAGGGATTTCCCAAAACGCAGGACTTCTAGTGGTAAAACCCGAACAGTCCCAGGCAAACTGGGACAGTTGGTCACTCGGCTGCGGTTCAGAATCTGACAAGATTCGGTATCTGCCCTCAGGTAGTCCGTAGTCTAACTGGTCTCTGTGAGAGAGAGGCTGTGGTCCTTCACACTCAGCTTCCACACGTCCTCTGCATTCTGAGACCCAAGGAGGTCTTTGTTGTGACTTTAGGTACCTTACTAAAGTCAATGGGATTGGTAATAGCGACTTTTATTTATTCAGGAAAAAAAAATGTTTTTTTAATGTTTATTCATTTTTGAAAGACAGACAGAGACAGAGCACAAGCAGGGGTGGGGCGGAGAGAGAGGCGGACACAGAATCTGAAGCAGGCTCCAGGCTCCGAGCTGTCAGCACAGAGCCCGACGCGGGGCTCGAACTCACCAGCGGTGAGATCGTGACCCGAGCCGAAGTCAGACGCTTAACTGACTGAGCCACCCACGCACCCCTGTAATAGCAGCTTTTAAAACTGGCATCAGTTTTAGAATATTTGCTGAAACGTAGTTCAGAAAAGAATGGACGTTTGGGTTCAGTGGCTTATAATTTGTAACTCTAAAATGGCTTCATTCTGTACGGATTACACACATGGCCATTTACGCAAAGTCCTTCCAAGACTAAGTACTTTTTGTTGAAGAAATTGGACTTTGTTCTCCCTTCTTGGAGGGCAACACTGATATTGAAGTTTTTAGAGCCTGTCACCTCATATACATAAAATGGAAATACGACTATAGGAGACAACGTAGGAAATGAGTAATCGTGTATTTTATTTTATACGCCAGTCTGCTTTATGTGAAAATATTAGAGGTTTGAATCAGGACTTGTGGAAACTTAGAGCACTTAAGCTGTTCACCGTAAGGGGTAAACTAGGAATGGCTCAGGGGAGTGGTTGGACTACTTAAGTCTGCATTTGTTGCTGGGCTAATAAACACCGTTCAGACAGCCACCTAAGGAAAACCGAAATTTTGAAAAATAAGACCCGCAGATTAACAGTTGTTTGGAACGAGCGCTGGGCGTCGTGTGTAACCGATGGGCCACGGGGAATCTACCCCCAAAACCAAGGGCGCACCGCACACACTGTCTGTTAGCCAGTTTGCCAACAAATCACATTAAAAAGATAAAATAAAGTCTGCAGATTAGCAATCTGATCGTTGCTAAAGCGGGGCTGTTTTTGTTGATGGCTTTGAGGTAGCTCGGGTGGCACCCTAGATATGCTACAGTTCCCCCTGGGTTTTTTTTTTCTTTTCTAATATTTATCTATTTATTTTTAACATATAATGTATTGTCAAGTTAGCTAACCTACAGGGCACACTGTGGGCTCTTGGTTTTGGGGGTGGATTCCCGGGATTCATCGCTCGCTCCCTGTTTTTAAAATACAGGAAATTGGGGCGCCTGAGTGGCGCAGTCGGTTAAGCATCCGACTTCAGCCAGGTCACGATCTCGCGGTCCGTGAGTTCGAGCCCCGCGTCGGGCTCTGGGCTGATGGCTCGGAGCCTGGAGCCTGTTTCCGATTCTGTGTCTCCCTCTCTCTCTGCCCCTCCCCCGTTCATGCTCTGTCTCTCTCTGTCCCAAAAATAAATAAACGTGGGAAAAAAAATTTTTTTTAATACAGGAAATTAAAAAAAAAATTTTTTTTAACATTTATTTATTTTTGAGACAGAGAGAGATAGAGCATGAATGGGGGAGGGGCAGAGAGAGAGAGGGAGACACAGAATCTGAAACAGGATCCAGGCTCTGAGCCGTCAGCACAGAGCCCGACGCGGGACTCGAACTCACGGGCCGCGAGATCGTGACCTGAGCTGAAGTCGGACGCTCAACGGACTGAGCCACCCAGGCGCCCCTAAAATCCAGGAAATTTTAGTTATGGGCGACAGGTCTGGGGAACACGAAATAATTTATTATTATCTAAAACCATGGCTAGGTGGTGGGCATTTCAGCCAGAGCATTTAGGGCCGCCCAAGGGTTTGAGTGACTGCTCCCCCTACTCGGCACTGGGGTGGGACAGGGGGGTAACAGGTCACGTGGACACAGGATCGGCGACTGCTCCACATCGATGGTTAGCTGCTGAGCTTCACTGGAGATACGCTTCTGGCTGGAAACCGCAGGAATGGCAGAACGCAGACAATTTTAAAATCTCCCGTACAAATCAATATTGAAATGAGAAACACATGTCCTAGCTCTGCAGTCTGACGTGACAGGACGCGGGACCCCGTCTAGGACGTACCGTTCTCGTGGCTCAGGGAGAAGAGCCTTGGCCGCGGCTATTAAATGTTTCTGTAGGATGTGACGTCATCTCTTCGGCTCATCGCCCATTGGCCAGAGTCGGTCACATGTCCAAGCCGACCGTTCACGGGGTGGAGGGAGGGAGTGCGCCCCTCTGCGGGCCAGGTGGTCAAAAGCGGGGTGTGTCCAGTGAGGGGTGCGAATAACTGGGAACAGGTGCACCTTCCCTCGCGGACTGGGAGGTCCCCCTGTGCAGTTCCAGAAGCGTTAGAAGAACCAAGGTCTTCTACCCTAGTGCCCAGTAACCTTCACCGGAATGCTTCTTTCCATATCCAGGCCACCAGACCAGCTGAAGGAAGCGTGGCCCAGCATAGGACACAGTGGAGCTTAGAGTTAGGGCGTGAAGCCAGACCATCCAGCTTAGAAACCCGGCTTTGCCACCGGCTGGCTGTGTGGCCTGGGGCGAGCGACTTAACCTCTCTGGGCCTCGGTTTCCTGACTTGTCAACTGCTGCTCATACTCTCTGCTTCCCAGGACCGTTGTGAGATTTCCGTCAGTCGGCTTGGCCTGCGTGGAATGTTTAGAATGGTACCGAGCATGTAGTAAGTGCTCCATAAACATCAGCTACCATTAGCCCGGTAGGAGAAATAATGTGTGTTCGAGATCAGCAAAGACAACATGTGGACAGAGTGACTTTTGACGAGGTGGAGAAGATGGAACAAGAGCTGAGAGGAAGGAGAGAGCTTTCCCTCCAGGAGAAATCAGGGGAGGCTTCTCGGGAGAGGCGGCACTCGATCTGCTAAGACTCCATCGGCAACTAGACTTCCTGCCAGCGGCCAAGGGCATTCCCGGAGGAGAACGGCGTCGGCAGATGCTTGGAGGGGTGAAGCTCGGAAGCATATCTGAAAGCCGTGGCAAATCAGTCCCAGTTGGCTTCAGCCTGTATGGTGTGCGCATAAGCAACGGAGGCAGTAAATGGCCCAGGGTATATTTTATTGCTCGCTTTAAATAGAAAGATGAGATGAGCCAACAGGTAATTCAATAGCTTGGAAATGAAAAGAGATGGGAAGCAGGGCGAGGGTTCTCATTATTCTTCCAAATAATGCAGAGGAATGGGATTTTCACTTGACTCTTTTCCAAAGCCTTAGCTCTGTTCGAAGCAGGGAGATTAATGCCCTGGCTTACGAGGGCCATCTTTTCCTTCTGGAACATGGGAAACGGCGCTTTCCTACGTCTGCCTCGGAGACGCACGCGAGCGGGGGAGTCTGACCATTTGCTTTCCCCTAAGCTAGCGGGGCTGCACCTTGGGCCTGGAACCAGGTCCCTGCCTGTCTCCCGCTGTAGCCCTGAGGGGACAGGCTAGCTGGGAGGCACGATTCTGCCTGCCTCTGCTTTTAATTAGTTCTCGCCTGCCATCGCTAACCAATTCAATTAGATCCCTTTTAAGAAATCAATTAAGTAATCAATTAAACCAACTGAAATAGTCACGCACACCGAGAAGCTAGTGAAATGCTTATTAAAACCAGGCCGTCCAGGGCAGAAGTGACCCATTTTGGGGAAGAAAATTCGGCTCCTGCAGAAGAAACAAGGAGCGTCCCCCGGAGCCCCGAGGGGGGAGATGGAAACGCTGAACTCGCTTGTGGCCGAGAAGGCCTTGCCTTGGCTGATGTCGTCAGCACAAAAGAGAGGCCTGGTGCTTTCCGGGGGGTACCCCCCCAGATTCCGAAATCTTGCTCGGGGCCTCTCAGGCCGGGATCCCCCTTGGGCCAGGGCCCGAGCCGCCCTGCGTGCTTGCAGCTGCACGGCCCACCCGGGGCAGGTCACTCCCGTGCCTCAGTTTCCACCTGAGCCCCAGCCTCCCCGGGGCCCACGCTTCCCCGTTCCTTCTCTGGTGTGCCCGAGTCTGTGCCCGTTTGAGGGGTGGGCGTGCCTCAGGAGAGAGACTTAACTAGATCTACTTCTCTGTGTTGCAGGGCCGAGCCGGTTCTGTCCCGAATCCAGGAGAACCGGAAGCGAGTGATCCTCCCGTCCATCGACAACATCAAACAGGACACCTTCGAGGTGCAGCGCTACGAGAACTCGGCCCACGGCTACAGCTGGGAGCTGTGGTGCATGTACATCAGCCCCCCAAAAGACTGGTGGGACGCCGGAGACCCCTCTCTCCCCATCAGGTCTGTGGCGGGCAAGCTCTGGGAGCCGTCGCGTCCCCAGATCCCCGGGGACACAGGAGCCCCGGGGGGGGGGGGGGGGGGGGGGGGGGGGGGGGAGGGAGGGCGTCTGGGAGGGACCGCCTGGGGCAGACCGGCGGCCTACAGAAGCTGCTTTAGGACTTCAGGGTATCTTCCCATCGTGGTTTTCTGGCTGAGGAAAGACATTGCTTCTTGAGCTTAAGTTTTCAAGGGCAGCTCAGCAGACGGCAGTACGGAGAGACTGGCACGATAGGAACGTTCCCCTCCCTTTATTCTCCCTTCGTTCTTCATGTCTGGTGAGCTGTGTCCAGGAGCTGTGTGGTTCGAGAGGCGTCCATTCCTGGGGCTTCCTCGTGCCTGCAACCTTCCCTCTCCCCTTTTGCACGATGCAAGAATGCGTAGAAACAGACACTCTTTGTGTGACCCTGGGGGGCAGCTGGGGGGCCTTGGGCTGCTCCGCGTGACCCTCGCCCGGGTCCCACCCTGCTGCCCCCGGAGACGGGGAGACCAGTACCCCATGGCGCAGCCGTTGGGGGCTCGCCTCTAAAGGATGTTGAGTGACGTGGGTTGACTTTGATGCCGTGTTCGTGCCCCGTGGCCGCCGTGGCAAATCTCTATCCGTGTGGTGGCAGGAAGCTCCGCAGATGTATTCCCTTCCATTCTGAAGGTCTGAAGTCCGAAATGAGCTTTACAGAGCTGGGCTCAAGACGTGTGCAGGGTGGAGGTCCTTCTGGAAGCTGTAGGGGAGAGTCCATTTTGTGCCAGCTTCTAGAGGCCCTCATTTCTCGGTTTGTGGCTCCATCACATCCCTCTTCCTCCCCTGCCATCTTCGTCACATGCCCATCATCTCCCTTTGGCGTTCTTGCCTCCCTTGTGATGGCCTTTATGGCCCGCGTGGATAATCTGAGCTAATCCCCCTGCCCAAGGTGAATCACGTCTGCGACGTCCTTTTTCCCCTATAAGGTAGCATTTACAGGCGCCGGAGATTAGGGGGTGGATTTTTTGGGGGGGAGGGGGCATCGTTCAGCCCACCACGGATGCTCTGATTTTTAACCCAGATGATGCCTGGTTGCCGTGCGGTGCTTTCTGTGAGTGCCGCCCAAAGGCCAAACCCACTTGAAACTGTCACGGTTCTTTCTTACGTTATAAGAGGGGGAAGAGGCTTTTTCCTACCTTGGCTTGGTTCTAAGGCAGTGTTTGTTGGTATAAAGGGGGAGTACCAAGAAGGAATTGTGGAACAGGATGAGAAGCTTCTCCCAAGTAGTCGTGAAGTTCTTCCTTGTGGCATTCTAAATAACTGGGAAGCCTCATGTTCCTTTACTTTCCTGCCCAAATGGAAGAGTACAGAATTGATCGCATTAGAGTGGAGCTGCCCGTGGCAGATTTGTGCCACAGCCTGGTGAGGTTTTGGGCCCGGAACTTCCTCCACCAGAGATGCCTTGTGACTCAGTTTCCATCCCCACCTAGACATTCAGTGTCCTTGTGCAATGCTTCGGGGCCACACTCTTAGAATCCTCGCAGGTAATTATGCAGGCTCATCACTAAGGCGTTTTCTGAGAAGCAAAGCATAACCTTTGAGATAATTTAAGTTTAATGGGTGATATACCACCTCATATCCCTTAGGATGGCGACTATCAAAGAAATAAACAAGAGTAGAAAACAAGTGTTGGCAAGGATACGGAGAAATTGGAACCCCTGAGCTTTGCTCGCGGAAATACAAAACCACGTAGCCGCTATGGAAAACAGTGTGACGGTTCCTCAAAAAAATTAAAAGTAGAATCACCATGTGGTAATTTTCACATCTGGGTACATACCCCAAAGAGTTGAAAGGAGGCTCTCGAAGAGGTATTTGCATGCCCGTGTTCACAGCAGCATTTTTTCACAATAGCCAAAAGGGGGAAATAACCCAGATGTCCGCCAACAGACGAATGGATGGATTCAATGTGGTCTATACCTACAGCAGAATATCATTCAGCCTTAAACAAGGAAGGAAATTCTGACGCATGCTATGGCATGGAGGAACCACGGGGACATCACGCCAAGTGAAATAGACCAGTTACCAAAGACGGATATTATACCTCATAGAAGGTACCTAGAATGGCCAAATTCATAGAGACGGGCAGTAGAAGGGGGGTTGCCAGGGGCTGGGGAGAAGCCAGGATGGGGAGTTGTTATTTAATGGTTATAGAGTTTCAGTTTTGCAAGATGAAAAGCGTTCTGGAAACTGGTTGCACGATAACTTGAATGCAATTAACACTACTGAACGGAACACAAAGGGTGCTTCATCCCTGACCCACAGGGAGGCTGACCTCCAGCCTTGACCGATAAGAGAACGGAGGTGTGACAGTGGTGTTAGCCACACAAGAGGGAAAGAAGCGGATTCATCCTAACGCTGTAACATGCCCTGAAAACCTAGCTATTCCCCATGGATGAAAGGCGCTAGGCAAAAATGTAGCTTGTATTTTATGAGTTACGGTAACATTAACAGATGATTAATATGCACTTAAAAGAGACTCAAGAAAATAGAGTTGTGATCACGAGTCATTAATATTACATGTATCTCTGATGCCCAAAACAGAACCCAATACCGATGATCTCTTTTTAATGTATCCTAACTTACAAAATGCTTAATCTGTTAATAGTTAATGGGGATACTTAATTGTAGGAAGGAATTCTTATATGACCCTTCTGATGCTGTTAGGCAGATACGATGTGATTTCTTCAATGTTGGGACATGGTGGCTTCCCCCTCCCCACTGTGATTCTAATATTTTGATAGTAATGATTTTATTCTGGCGAAGGATGGAACAAGGAGAACATTTTCACAATCCAAATGGCATTAGACTGGATGAGGCCGTGGATACTGAATCTTCCCAGCAGACAACATAACGTAGGAGATTTTTTCCGTTAAGAAAATGTACGTCCTTCGTTTTACTTCTTTCCCTTTTTCATATTTGTTTGTTTTGTTTTGTGGTTTCTCCTGCCTGGTAAACAGTTTATTTCCCAAGTTTCGGGCAAGGAGAGAGCACAGGTGCCATGAAAGAGAGCAGAGTCCAAGTGTATGAGGGGTGGGGGGTGGGGACTGAAGAGAAGGCTCACCAATAAGGAGGCAGCTGCTCTTAGCCCCGCCCTGGGGGATGGTGCTGGGCTGGGGGATGGGGACACAGGCTGGCTTTTGTCAGGTCCTCAGACTTTTTTTAAATTAAAAAAAAATTTTTTTTAATGTTTATTTATTTTTCAGACAGAGAAACAGAGCACAAGTGGGAGAGGGGCAGAGGGAGAGGGGGAGACACAGAATCTGAAGCAGGCTCCAGGCTCTGAGCTGTCAGCACAGAGCCCGACATGGGGCGTGAGACTGTGACCTGAGCCAAAGTCGGACGCTTAACTGCCTGAGCCACGCAGGTGCCCCCGGGTCCTCAGACTTTTAAGAGAAAACACAAATCCAGATCATTGCATGAAATCTTCTGGCTTCTAAATGTTGGCCAAAAAAAATGCCTCTTCTTCAAAGCTCTGGGAGACCTGTATCATTCCCGGGACAGCTGTGGTCCATGCTTCTCACGCTGGGGGCTGTGGGCACCGCATGACTGGGGGATTTGGGGACAGTGTTACTCAGAGTTTTAGAGCTTGAGTTAAGCCATGCGGGGTCCCGCTGTCACCTCCAATATGTCGCTGCCCTCTGCTGCTGAGATTCTCCAGTGAAAGACCTTGAGGAGCCATGAGCCAACTCTCGCCTCTCAGAGGAGGGTCTCGAATCTGTCTTAAGCCCCGATTTTTCTCCAAAGTGCCATCAAGTGCAATGTCACATCAGTAACCTATCATCAGACCAGCAGATTTTAAATGTTTTCGTGTCAAAGGCCTCTCGAATCATCTAATGAAAAGCGTAGATCGTATCAGCCCTGAACACGTACAAGCGGACAGAACTTTGCATGCAGTTTCATGCAGTTTATGAATGCCTTAATGATCCACAGGGCTTTTATTAAGAACCACTGCTAGGTGTTTCTACTTGGCTCTCCCAGTTGGAGAGCCTCTCTTTACCGTTCTTTATCACCCACGAGACTATATGCTTTAGGAAGCCAGGACTGTGACTGGTTCACAGTTGTATCCCCAGTGCCTAATTACTCCCTTGGCACTTAGTAGGTTTGCTGGAAATCTGTAGCGAATGAATGAATGGATGAGTGACATCTGAGGCTCCGAAGAGCGATCAGGGCTAGCGATTAGATAGAGAGTGAGATTGCCCAGAGGTCCCTTAGAGAAAGACAAGGAGAGCCCCAATATTTCTGGGATGGAGGGAACCTACGTGAGAGCAACCAGCAAGTGATGATGAATGGTCAGAGAGGTATGAGGATGATCCGTGGAGTCCAAGACTTAAGACCAAGAAGACCGGAAGCACCATTGGGTTTAAGGGGTCCACTCATCACAGCCTTGGTGAAACCATTTTCAGGGACTCTTGGAGTCTGAAGCCAGTTGGCCGTGTATGGAGGACTGAATGGGATATGAAGGAGTGGGGGGGGGGGGTTTGAGAGCAGATTATGCTTTTGAGGTGTTTGGGATAGACTCAGAGAGGTGAGGCATAGAAACTATGGAGGCGGGTAAAGATCAAGTGATGTGTAGTTTATTTATTTACTTATTTTTAAAACATTTATTTGTTTAGGAGACAGAGAGAGTGAACAGGAGCGGGGCAGAGAGAGAGAGAGAATCCCAAACAGACTCACAGATGCATCACTCAGAGCTAATGAGGCTCAACTCACCAACCGTGACATCACGACCTGAGCCAAAATCAAGAGTCAGGCGCTTAACTGACTGAGCCACCCGAGCACCCCTCTTCGTTCTTTTTTATAGTGACTTTTAATCATGACCACCTTTAAAGTGGCCGCAGGCCAGCATTCCTTCTGCATCCCGTATCTGGTTTCCGGGATTCACACACCTTAGTCCTGCATGGGAGGGGAGAGGTGACTTCCCCCCACACAAGGCTCCCTCTACTTC